CTAATAGGAATCTATAATAACAAATTCAACTAGCATCGCTTAAGTATGTAGCCTATAGATCCTTAAATGTACACAACCTTGACTATGCCTGGACTTTGCCTGTCTTGGATTCTTCAGACTCAGATTAGAGTTGTACTAAGTAATTAAAAAATATTTAATTTATTCCATACATTTTATTATTGATGTCTGCCTGACGAACACATAATTCTTCTTTACCTTTTTTAAATTGATTCTTTCCTGCAGTTGGTAGAATTTTGTCGTTTTTTGGGATTATTTTGATTACATAAATAACCGAGAAAGTACTTAATATAGAAATGCTACTAAGCGATTTGTGATATTGAAAATGATTATACATGTCTATTTGTTTTAGAGATTATGCATACAAATCTGAGCTGAAAGAGTGAGCTACGGAGAGACACATTAGATTAAGACATAATCAAGTGTATGTGTACCTGGTGAATATCTAAAATCGATTTTCTCTAAATCGAAATCTTATATGAAAAAATTTTATTCTACATTTTCGTTTTATTTCGTCACGTAGAATCGTCGTTCTTCCAGTTGTACCACCAATTACCGATTATTCTGTATATACTCAGATAACGCGTTCCCGGATTAATGCAATTTCAGATTCGATCTTGTTGGCTGATTAATGAGGAGATTTAATATGTTGGAGTTTACACAGATCAAAGTTGCTTGCAAAATATTTAGAAGGAATATACCGGGGACTGTTCGGTTTTATCGAAATGATAGGACAGAGCGTGACACTAATTTTCTGATGGCACATTTTTTTAAAGTCATAGTTCAATGATTCTTGTATCTGTGATATGATATAATTCTTTCCTTTTTTTCATTTAACTTCTGCAAAAATTGTTTAGGATATTTCAATGATTTAAAAATACTTTTGCAATAAGTACGAATTACTATTGAAATTCATATGGAAATTTATTATTGCGTGTTATGACATCAACTAATGGACATTTTCCTGACGAACCAATAATTACGGAATATCAATTCAGCATACTTTCTACTCGTTACTTGGAAGTAATTTTGTAAGTTATACGTGTTTTATAGAACATTATCTTGTTCCGATAGGAAGAAATTATTAATAAATTGTAGAGTGTAAAAATAAAAATTATCTCTTGTTATACACGAAAATTGCAGGGAAAATCTTAACAAGCATAACATAATAAAAGCATACATAAATAGAAGGGCACGAGTAAAATGATTAGATTCAGAGTGAAAAAATATATATAAAATATCGTTAGTTCTCTAGAGTTGAATAGCCTCGAAAATATTCTGCATTTTTCTAATTAATAACTTACAATAAAATTAAACAAATGCCTGTTACGAGGGGGGGAACCGTGCCAGGGGCCCGACGGGCAACCGAGTCTGTCGACTCAGTCGGGGTGCTTTTTAAGGAAGGAGATAGACGCACGGACGAACCTTGTTTAACCCTTTGGGTTACCTTCGGGAGCCGCAGGACGTGGACAACGGGGGAAGGGTCAGTCCCCCTTAGCCACTTATGTAAAAAGGTAGTCGGATTGGCAGGTCACCTATCGTAGATACGTACGGTACGTAGATAGTACGTATCGGTTGCGAGATACTCCGGTTATCGAGCTAAGTTGGAAAGAATTCAGGATGTGCAAAAAGAAACTTGAAACGAATTTAAGAATGGTTACAAACTTATCTATATTCTTAAGTACTCGTACAATGTTCTTTATAAATGGTCAACTCTTACGCGAAGAGAATTCCTACTCCGCTAAATGATGTCGCTCGAAAACTTCTATATGAAATGAGCATTTTTTTATGCATTTTTAGCATTTTGTATTTTTCACAATCCAACTATACAACGAAAAAATCTGAAAAAGTTCCCTAATATCGAGTACCGTCCCGCGAACATGTGAGAATTTTTTCAGATTTTTCGCTAAACATTTAGTAGGAAAAATATGTCAAAAACGCTAAAATTGTTTAACCCTCATAACTACCCTCCAGATTAAAATAGAGGGTTGAAAATTGGCATGGGACGTTTTCTTTGGACACTCTATCGAATGGCTCATTGCAAGTTGAATTTTGTTCAAGGGCACATTTTACCATCTTATCCGGCTAGACCCTTTGACATGCTCTCAGCTCACAAGACTAGACTGTGTCTCTCCCGAAAGCATTCAACATTATGGCCTATTCCCATTGCGATTTCCGACTCCGGAATCCGGCTCAGAGCCGGCGAGCGAAATTTTGGCGCCGAGCCCCTAAAAAACGGGGAAGCAGTATCGTAGCGCAAACTGCGAGGTATATAGGGAATAGCGTGTAAGAAAAAATATTGCTGGGTGTCGTTCAGGGGGCCCTGCTGGGTCCGAGAGCGGCGAACCGAGAGTGGGGGAAAAATCCGGCAGCGGAAAAGCAAGAGTGAGGGAAAATCCGCCAGCCGAAAAGGAAATATTATACATTCCTTAAAAAAACACTTTACATTGCGCAAAACATACGACATTGTGACAAAATAACGAATGACGAGCGAGCATAAATTTAAGTTTACATCGTTCTACCAATCACCATATAATGGTTTCATTCCTTCAAAACGGCAAATGGTTCCATGGTTAATCCCGCCCCATTGTATTAACTTCGATTGACGATTAATTTTTCAATCGCTTTCGAAGTTTTCCGCTGTCGAATTTCTTTCCCACTCTTTCCTTTCCCGCTGCCGGATTTTTCCCCACTCTTTCCTTTTCGGCTGGCGGATTTTCCCTCACTCTTGCTTTTCCGCTGCCGGATTTTTCCCCCACTCTCGGTTCGCCGCTCTCGGACCCAGCAGGGCCCCTTGAACGACACCCAGCAATATTTTTTCTCACACGCTATTCCCTATATACCTCGCAGTTTGCGCTACGGTACTGCTTCCCCGTTTTTTAGGGGTTCGGCGCCAAAATTTCGCTCGCCGGCTCTGAGCCGGATTCCGGAGTCGGAAATCGCAATGGGAATAGGCCATTATACAGGATAAAGTACTAACTATTGCCACTTATACCCGTGTTCCCGAGAGTCTAGGATCGTTTTGCGTAGCTTGGGAGGTTGTGGGGATCGCAGAGAACTCCCTCCACGTATACTCCCTATACACGGTAAAGCATTGAGATGCGCAGAACGATCAGAAACAGAACTGTGCCCGGGCCTAGAGTCTCGAGAACACGAGTATAGAATAACTGAGAAAGTATGATAGTAATAAAAAAGT